TTCTTTGTAATATAGTATTCTCAAATATGTGCTTCGTCCAACGCAAGGAAAGTTGGCTCCCTGTGCCGCGCCAGGAAATTTTCTTCCCGGAATCGATCCTTCAGATCTACAAATCAACAATTCGCGCTTGCATGGAGTTTTGCTTCCATATATGGTCTGGAGTCCCTTCTGTTTGCCTCGGGGTTCTTGATAAGATCCAGAGGCGGATATGCAATATAATTGGCCCTGTTCTGGCATCTCGTCTACATTTGCTCTCTCACAGACGCGCCGTCGCCGCTCTCTGTCTTTTTTAAAAATACTTTATGGCAATTGCTCCGAGGAGCTGCATACGCTTGTTCCCTGACTTCATGAATTCAAGCGCCCTACGAGGCTGACATCCCGCTCTCACCCTTTCACTGTCGAAACTATTAAATGTAGCCGTCTCTTCTACTCCAATAGCTTCATGTCTCGCAACTCTAACCTGTGGAACACCCTTTCCCAATTACTGTTTCCCTGAGAGCTATATTCTCCAACTATTCAAAGGTAATGTCACTCGACATCTCCAGTTGCCTTGATCTATCCACTATCTTTCTCCTCATCCTTTCCTCTATCACTCCTATATGATCTTAAGTGGCTTCACGCCTTGCTTGGGGTGAAACGCTTAAAAAAATAAAGTATGCGAAAATGTCAGTAATTAATTAAGGTTTGAAAATATCAGCTTGTATAACAACGAACGAACAATCAACACTGGTCAAAGGTTTAAGGAAAAAAAATCTATCTTAGTGAACTAATATGAGCGCTTTTATCACCGATTAAGACTAAATTTTATTATATAAGTTTATTGATTAATAAATATTTTCCCATTATTTAAATACTTCTTTTAAAGAGGGAAAATATTGTTGATTATTTTCTGAAGTGAGCTTTCAAATTTTCTTAGCAGACGATAAACATCGTTGCTTGAAAATTCAAAGACGATAGCGCGTTTCATATAACGTCGCTGATTGGTTAATGTATATGACTGTGAAAATTTAAAATCGGTGCTTACAAAATGCACAAAAATCAGTCGAATTATGCGTGAACCAGTGACAGTATTTAGAACGAATGCATTTCCTGGATTTCATTAACATATATACATATACTTAAAGGTGACATTTCAACGTTTCTTTATGCACAATTCAAGTGCGTATTTCGAATTTGAAATGTTAACAGTAGTAGACAGATTTGCCTATCGTCCGATTCACAGACCTTCCCCGACTTTTGAACAAGAAGTTTATCCTTTGTTTCCTGTTTAGGATTAGTTTTTCGCTTTCTTTTCCTAAAGTTTTCTCATTTTCTTTCATCCCAGTAACCATTTTTCGCCTTAGTGGTATTATCACCTTGCTTGGGGTGAAATTATTAAAAAAAAAAACAAAAGAAAAAACAAACCTATAACACATACAATTTGGAAAATGTCCCGAAACGTTTCCCACCGCCGTAACGTGACTTTCCTCTGCCTTTTCTATAAATACTTCATGGGTTAGTGTTCCGATAGATTTTCATATATATTCATTCGGGTTTCATTTTTAAATGCTGTTATTATTATCCCTCCTCTCCACAAACAAATTGTACACATGGGAACTGATTAGGACTTCATAAAGACTTTGAGGTATTATGGTGGCTGTAGTAAGAATGGTAAATAAGAATGTCTTGTTTTGGTGTAAAGAATACTGTGGTATGTTTGGACCAATAATCGTGGCTCGCTAAGTTTAAGATAAGACAGCATTTTCCTTTGACATGACGTTGAAAGATTATGTTGAATCAATTGCTAGGTCTGCAATCTTTGTAGTGAGTAAAATGGTTTTGTCTATATGATAAAATTATAATAAACTAGCAGTAGAGCCCGGCGTTGCCCGGGGATATAACATTAAGAGATAGATCAAGTATCCACCATCATAAAGACTGAAAAATAAAATTGACAAAGATTATTGTTTAAGGTTGACGGACACGCATGTCTTAATTAATTTTTTTTTTTTTTTTTTGCGAATTGGTCAAACCCAAACTCAAACAAAAACATTGTTTTCAATCGTTATGAGTCTACTGGTTGAACAGAATTTTATTATAAACAATTGTCTTGTAAATGGAATTTTTAAAGCATTCTGAATGTAAAAATAAAGAAAAAAGTGTGCAAGACAATAAGAAACACTACATGCCAAAAAAGTGAAGTTTTGTTGAAATCGGTTGAAAAATGGAGGTAACCTTTCTGTAATCTTTTAGTTTTACAATTTATGATTTTTACTTATTGAATACAGTAAAAAATTGCATATTTTGCTTGTGGTGATTCATAATTAGAATTCTGATTTGAATATATTTTCCACTCATTGTTTCTAATACAAAAAATATTAACTTTATTTGGGTTTATTAATTATGATCTAACAAATCTTATTCATTTAGTAGCCTTTCTGTAATAATAATCTTTTACAATTTATGATTTTTACTTATTGAATACAGTAAAAAAATTGGGCACCATGTGTATTTAAAGTAGTTTCCCGTTCCGGTTATTATTTTTAGTTAGGACTTGCGTATGTTTAGATTTCATTATCTTTCCCTAAAGATAAATAATTTATTCCGATGTTTGTATTCGTACAATCAGTAGAGATCGTTAGATTATTGTTTAAGGTTGACGGACACGCATGTCTTAATTAGTTTTTTTTTTTTTTTACGAATTGGTCAAACCCAAACTCAAACAAAAACATTGTTTTTTAAATCGTTATGAGTCTCTACCGATAGAATAGAATTTTATTATAAATAATTGTCTTGTAAATGGAATTTTTAAAGCATTCTGAATGTAAAAATAAAGAAAAAAAGTGTGCAAGAGAATAAGAAAGACTACCTGCCAAAAAAAAAAGTGAAGTTTTGTTTTATCGGCTGAAAAATATAGGAAATCAGCTCCCATATTTAAAGGAACCCACACACACACAAACAACCCGATGTGAGTTGTCCCTCTTCCATTTTCACAATGTCTCTTGATCGTGTTTTCAAATTGATTTTGTGCAAAAACAATTATATTTTTCCCATTTTTGGCGCTGTTAGAACCACCACAGAGTAATTTTATGTAGTCCTGTGAAGTTTTGTTGAAATCGGTTGAAAAATGTAGGAAATCCGATCCAATATATAAACGTTACAGACACACACACACACACAACCTGCGTTTTATAAGTAAGATTAATAAATATATGTGTGTGTGTGTGATTGTGTGTGTGTGTGTTTGTGTGTGTTTATATGTATATAACATTCTCCTTTTGAATGTGTGGGAGTAGGGGAGAATGTTGGTGAAGGGAAGAGAGTGAGATATTTTATGTCCTAATTTATAGCGTTAATCGTTATATGCTATTTCTTGAGTAATTCTCCCAACCGTGTTAAAGAAAGACAATTCTTCTTCTTCCCCTTCTTCTTCTTCTTCTGACTCCTCCTTATTCCTCTCCTCTTCCTCATTCTTCTCCTCCCTTCCTTCTTTTAATTCCACTCTTCCTTCACCTCTCATCCTCTCCTTTCCTCCTCCTCTTCCCCTCCTCCTCTCCATTCTTCTTCCTCTCCTCCACCATATCCTCTCCTCCTTTTTCTCTTCCTCTTCTTTAACTCCCCCTCTTTTCTTTCTCTTCCTCCCCTTTCTTATTCCTTCCCCTCCTCCTCTTCCTCATTTTCGTTTCCTCCTACTCTTCTACTTCTTTCTTTTTTCTTTCTTTCTTCTCACTTTTTCTTCCTCCACTTTCTCCTGCTTCTTTCCTTGTCCTCCTCCTTTTTCTACAACTTCTTGTTGTTCTCTTCCCCCCTCTTGCTTATTCTTCTTTTATCTTCCTCCCCACTCCTCCCACCTGTTCTACTTCTTCTTCTTCTTCTCCTCCTCCCCCTCCTGCCTTTGCCGTTAACCCTGATTCCTATATTGTTGATGAATCTGCAATTTTCTGCCTCCCAAACGTGCCGTGCAACTTCGTGTCTGGTTTGTTTGTTTGGCCCAGAAAAACAGTCACCGATTTTTTTCCATGGCGAATACTGCTTACGATTGTGTTTGGAATCATTCAACGTTAGTGGTGACGACAGTGAAGATGCAATCAAACTTCGACGAGGTGTTGCGTGAGCATGCGCACACACGCCGAGACGCCTACACGGAGGCGATTGCTGCAGACAGATCAATAGGTAGGCAGATCAGCAGCTGCACAAAGTCGATAGACAAAGGCATATTTCCATGCCGTGTAGGTAAAGTAAATGTTGCAAGTACATGCATGTATTGGCTGCTGAGTGTTAGGAACGCTATATTGCACGAGTTGGTTCCTGCGGGACTCGGCTTTCTTCATTCTGCCATCAACCACTCACTATAAAATACTGACGATAAACTCACAGTAAACCATTCAAAGAACACGTAAACATATATGAAGAAACTGCGATATATAGATAGATAGAGGATGAATAATCTGTGATAGATTAGATAATAAATTGACTTAGATAGACAGATAGGTAAATAGATATGAACATAGGAAGATAATGAAAAGACAGTGATAGATGGATAATGAATTGACTGGGATAGATAGATAGATAGATAGATAGATAGATAGATAGATAGATAGGCAAGGAAAAAACTGTGGCAGAAAATGAATAAACTTTGATAGATTATTCAATAGACTTTGATAGATAGATAGATAGATAGATATGAACATATATATATATAGATAGATAGATAGATAAATAGATAGATAGATAGATAGATAGAGAGAGAGAGAGAGAGAGAGATATGAACAGATTGCGATATATAAATAGATAATGAACAGAATTTGATTGATAATGTGATACATATATATATATATATATATATATATATATTAGGTTAGTGCAAAAATAATGACGTAATAATGTCGTTTTGTGACGTATTTTTTAACGTCAAAAAACGACATTATTACGTCATTATTTTTGCACCAACCTATATATATATATATATATATATATATATAGATAGATAGATAGATAGATAGATAGATATGAACATAGATTTATAGATAATGAAAAGACTGTGACAGATAATGAATAAAATGTGATAGATTAGCTAATAGACTTAGATAGATAGATAGATAGATAGATAGATAGATAGATAGATAGATAGGAGTTGAATGTTGTAGAGAGATCGATACATAGATAATTACATAGAAAGAAAAAAGAGAAATGAGTAGACCACTGTAGTCAGATTGAAGAGAAAGACAAAGAGGTTTTTTTCTCTCCAGTGGCCATCTTGCACATTTCCAAATCTACTATTCTCGCCAGTGCCCATCTTGCACATTTACAAATCTACCATTCTCGCCAGTGCCCATCTTGCACATTTACAAATCTCCCATTCGTCCGTGCATTGAACACTGTTGCCATATGTGGTCTGGTGCTCATCTCGGGGTTCTTGATAAAATCCAAATGATCTAAAATGTAAACGATTCAGTCTTAGCATCTCGACTTCACTCACCAACGTGACGTTGCTTCCCTCTGCCGTTTCTAGAAATATTTTCATGGCTACTGCTCTGACGAGATTTTTCCAGGGTGCCCGGCTAAGTGAGTTTAAGTGTGCTACTAGATTGGCATCTAAGTCCCGCCCTTTTACTGTTAAATTAGGTTAATGTAACCGCCATTTCTACTCTAACAGTTTCTTTCTTTGCACTTCCCAACTGGGAAATTCCCTTCCGTTTCCTTGCTGCCTCGATAACTACAATCTTCAAAAATTTAAATGTAATGTCAGTCGCCATCTTCTATCTCCGTGAACTCCGTTCAGCTTTTATCCTTTCCTCGGTCCCAACTATCGCCAGTCTTTTCTCTCACCTTCACACGCCGTAAGCTCCTGCGTACTGGTGGAATTCACGCCTTGCTTATGGGGAAATTAAAAAAAAAATTAACTTTTTAATTGGTGCTTTGCAAATATTATCCCGTTTATCGCCAAAGAACTTTAATTGACTGTAAGAGATAATGAATAGACTGAGATAGATAGATAGATAGATAGATAGATAGATAGATAGATAGATATGAACATAGATCGATAGATAGGTAATGAAAAGACTGTGGCAGATAATAAATAAATTCTGATAGATTAGTTAATAGACTTTGATTGATAGATATAGAGATGGATAGATAGATAGATAATGAAAATGCTATGATAGATGTGAACACACATATGCATATATATATATATATAGTAAGGAAATATACGCACGCATATATACACGCATGCTGACAGGAACACGCCAAAATAGAAACAGATCCAAGAGCACATAGAGGTCACTAAAACATTAAAAGATTAAATGCCGATAACTACTCGCTGGACAAACCTTAATTGTTTTATGACCCTTCACGCAGAACTCTACATTGACAATTCTAGAAAGAAAATTCGGATTGCCAACACACAAACAGAATGTCTCATATCAAGAATATTCCACATTGAACATGAAGAAAAATTAATTATTTTAATAATATGTAAAAATCTCCACTTTCACCTGAAGACGGTTGCGAGACCAGACCAGAAACACGTGTCGTGAAATTATGTAAAACAAAGTATAATATTTTTTCTCAATAAATCCACATTACAACCAAAAACGTTTGCGGCACCCTCTTCTTTTTTAATATACATACTTTTCTCTCGTTGGAACCACTACAACATATTTCCTTTATATATATATATATATATATATATATATATATTATAAATTAATTGATTTAAAATATGGTTATTTTCGCTACACAGTTCCAACCATGTTTCAAAAATAGAAGCTAAAACCCCTAATTTTATTTTTGCAAATAAATTAAAAGCATTAGTTCCATTTCATCTTCAAGCGAATTTTGGAGTAACTTTTTAAAATTTACCGGGTTTTAAATACACAGCTAAAATCACGTTTCCATGGTTACAGAATATTCTACTCAAATTGAACAAGGGGTGTCTAGATTTTCCTTATGACAGTATCATTGTATCAGTTATTAGCTACATTTTGGTAAGGGGTGAGATGTATTTTACACTGAAACCTGACGTCAGTTGAATGGATGTCGTCTGAATTTAAAAAAAAAAAAAAAAAAAAAAAAAATTGTTAACGGTAAAAATTTTCAACGTCATCTTTTAAAATTAAAGATTTTTTTACAATACTTTTTATTTAACTACGATTTGAAATATTTTCCTTTTAATTTTTATTTTACTATATTCTTTTTAAGAACAGTTAAATGTATTAGAATCCATTATATTATGTAGGATTATTTTAACATTAAGTTTAAGTATGTATATGAGGTTACATTTTTTTTTTTTTTTTTTTTTGTATATGACTATGACAGCAGAAATGGTTACTTAATTTCACTGATTCAGTAAACTTTTCTTTTATATATAAACCTATTATTATAAATTATTATTATTTATTTATATATATATATATATATATATATATATATATATATATATATATATATATATATATATATATATATATATATATATATATATATATATATATATATATATATATATATATATATATATATATATATATATATATATATATATATTAAAAAGAAGAGGGTGCCGCAAACGTTTTTGGTTGTAATGTGGATTTATTGAGAAAAAATATTATACTTTGTTTTACATAATTTCACGACACGTGTTTCTGGTCTGGTCTCGCAACCGTCTTCAGGTGAAAGTGGAGATTTTTACATATTATTAAAAATAATTAATTTTTCTTCATGTTCAATGTGGAATATTCTCGATATGAGACATTCTGTTTGTGTGTTGGCAATCCGAATTGTCGTGAAATTATGTAAAACAAAGTATAATATTTTTTCTCAATAAATCCACATTACAACCAAAAACGTTTGCGGCACCCCTCTTCTTTTTAATATACATACTTTTCTCTCGTTGGAACCACTACAACATATTTCCTTTATATATATATATATATATATATATATATATATATATATATTATTAATAGAAATCTTATAAGTATAAGAAACTATACTCGTTCGGAAAACATTCGGTGTCTTGATTTGAAAATAATCAAAGCAATACCAAATGGAAAAAAAGGTATAAAAAAAAGAAAAGAACAAAGAACATGTACGTTAACCGAAAGTAATCGTCTAGCATGCAAGTCGAAAGTCCAAAGAAAAAAAAACCCGATGCGATTACCCAAAATAACTAAATAAAGTGCTTAATACAATGAGTAGAGCAGACCTAGTTAAACCTAGAGAGCCAGGTAAAACCTTGGTAGGTTTGTCTGGCTCTCTAGGTTTAACTATACACACACACACATATATATATATATATATAGAGAGAGAGAGAGAGAGAGAGAGAGAGAGAGAGAGAGAGACTGTGATAGATATGAACAGATTGAGATATATACATATATACAACAGAATTTAATTAAATTTTGAAATACCTGCCTTCTTGTTTTGTCCTTAGCGCACTGATGTAGCTAACACCTGGCGGCCATGTGCTATGCGCGGTCAGTTGCTCGAGGCAAGACTTCTATTTTTAGAACACTTTTAACACGCCGCCTCCTCTGCAAAGAGTGACCGCTAAGAAGCACACAAGCCGCTCGAACTTCACACTGCAAAATTACTATGTAGCAGCCACACACAGAATTCCCACACTCAAAAATTATATATCGTTATCCAATACATATATATATATATATATATATATATATATATATATATTAAGAGAAACAGATAGAGAGTTTTGTCGCCATATTTATTACAACGTTTCGACCGTTGTACGCTCCGGCCTTCTTCAGGTGGTTGAAATTTCGAACTGAACCCTTTATTTCGCTCACTGGGGTAGACTGTTCTAGTTCCACGTGCCATGTTTGATGGATGTCAGTTATCAGTTATCTCCTGCTAATTTCCCTCTGAAAGTTCTCCACTGCCTTAACCGGGTATTGAACACACACTCTGTGGGTCCTGTCACTGGATCTAACCAACGCCTTTAAACACTGTGCCATGTGTCCTTGAGGGTATGAATTTCTGGGTATTATAAACCTAATGTCTTCAGCAACCTTTTTTTTACAAAAATTGCAATATGAGCCCCGCTAAAAATGTATAGCTTGTAATATTTTTTTTTTTTTTAAATATTGTTGTAAACTTTTTTTTCTTTTCAAAAATGTATTTCTGGTAATAATAAAGTTTTAGAAAGTATTTCTGGAATTAAAACCCATTTTACACTGTCATAGTG